ACAAGAAGAAAACCAGATTGATACGGTACAAAAAGACACAGACACACTTCAGATTCAGACAGATACCGAGACCCAAACAGCAGCAGCCAAGGAAGTTATTCCATCTCTCCTGCCGCCAAAAGGAGCTGTAAAGTCCTGACACTTCAGCCACTTTAATCCGTGATAACCCCTAGTAAGCAGGCACGCTGATGCCAGCCTCCACACACACATACACACACACACACACAGCACTGATAATGCTCTCAGATGGAGTTTCAATTTTGCCTTGATGGCACGTAAGTTTATGCCTTCGTCAAATTTGACTTAAATTGAAAAAGAGGCTGGTGCAGGCTGGAGCTGAAGGTGATAGATATATATACCAGAACACGAGCTCCAGTGCACTCCACAACTTGCGTGCCAGTATGTGGCGTCGACAGGTTGGCAGTAAGTTAAATATTAGCTCCAACTAAGACGCTCAGGGGACAAGAGAAAAAGTACGTGTATCTGTGAAGCGGGCTTACTCAGTTCTGCAAGAACTCCATCATTGCATGAACAGAAAAGTTTATAAAAGAGCTCTGGCCTCTGTGAAAACGTCATGTGGTTCACACAGCCTCAAAGTCTTAAATAGCAGTGCAGTCTTTTAAATAGCACCCGGGGCAACAGCTGAAATCCTTGTATTGTTTACACTGGTAATTGGATAATTAGGGTTCACAGCCAACAGAAGGTGGCTATATAATACTAGCCTCCTATTCACATCAAAGGTAATTACACAATCTTTAATTGGTATATTGTAAGTGTATGAGAGGAATTCCTTGAGTATTTACAGTACAACCAAACATAAAACTAACATCACTCCACCATTACACAAGATGATGACTGCATCAGAAAGTGGAAAAGATTTTTTTTAAATGGGAAATTAAAAGTAATAAACTAAAACCCACTAGCAAATATACACAAGGTCATTGAATTTAAAGTTTATTGATACTGATGCCTTAGGATTAAAGAACTAGCCTCTAGCAGCCCCAGTTTAATTTAGTCAATAAAAGCCCCAAATATTCTAGACACTGACTTAAATCATCCGTTATAGCTGTTATTTATAAAATATTAAAAATTGTGATGTGACTGGCACAGAGAGCACACAGCCTGTTGGCATTAGCAGAGCTCAGGTTGTTCTTTAAAGGAAGGATTTATGAACCAACCTCAATGGCAACCACTCGGAGGGTTTCAGGAAATATCCAAATTCATTTTGTCCTAGATTTGTCTCAGCCTTTGTTGTAAGGCATTATCTGCCATGTTCAAGATGATGAGTGACTTATAAGTCACTTTTTTGTTCATGTCATACACCAACATGCTGCGCTTTAACTACATTATAAACGTAGCTTTATAAGTACTCCACAAGTGCGGTCAAAGTGCAATTCAAGGTTGTTGTTTTTTTTAAGTCTACAGTTCTTGTCTTAGTGAAGATAAAAATGCCTCAACTAGTTGCACAACATTTATTTCCAAGTACCTTTTGCAGGAAATGATCTTAAGATTCCGTTTACACTTAAAACAAGAGGGTTTTAGAAATAAGGCTCAAGTGCACTTGTGATCACTATCCTAAACTAGTAGAAAAGTTTAATTATGAAAACATGAAGGTTTAAATATGTAACCCAAGACAATTGGTTGTACAAGTTCATTAAAAATCTTCATGTTCATGGAGGATTAGTTTAAATCTTTTATTTTCTTTTGAAACGTCTTTCTGGAAGCTTCTTCAGTCAGTATTTACACATGGACCTACCTCTGGTGACGTTTTTACTGCGATTATGAAGTCGGTACTTCAACTGATGTACTCACTAAGTACATATTTAAACCATTTTGACATTCCTATCACAATTCTGTGCAGAATTCATCATCTCTTTTCATAACCACACACAGACAAATAAACAAATGGGTGTCTGGTGTGCCAATAGATTATCATAGGGGCTTGGACAGGACTGCTTCACACCTACACAGCTGCTAATAAGATGGATCCATCAAAGACAAATGTAACCTGAATGGAGAGATGAAAGAAAAAGGGGGAGATGTGTGTATATATATATATATATATAAAATGAATAAGGGTGGGGATAAAGAAGGTGAGCAAATGACAAAGAAGGAAGAGAGAATGGAAGAATAATGTAGAGAGAAAGTGCAGAAGTACAGGAAAACAAATAAGACACAGAACAGAGACGTCCATCAGACTGGGAGAGCTGTGACCAACCACTGCAGGATATGAAAGACATGACAACACAGGGAGGCGAGTATCTGTGGTCAACAGCAGACAGGAGATGCTGACAGAACTGCACTGCCTGCCCACATGCGGAAAAAAAAATCTCCACTGAGAGATTCTCAGTGTTAGAAAAAAGGAACTGCCAGCACTGCTTCTCTGGCAGCCAGAGAGTTTGTAGTTTGCCACAAAATAAGGAATAATTACATCTGAGAATCCACATACGCATTGATTACAATTTATTTCCATAAGTTAGTTTTTTTTATGATCAGTCTTTAAAGTCTGCATCTGCAGACCCGTCTGCATTCATTCTACATTACTGATGTCTGCCAAGTAACATGCACATCAGAATGATAATTGAGATTCATAGTTACAGTGTGTAAAAGATAAAGACACAGATGCAGGAATAAAGAGGGGAGAGAGATGAGCAGTGAAAAGATGGAAAAGAAGAAGCAAAACATGAGATAAAAAAAAACAAAGAATCAAACCAGCAGATTTCTGACAAAATGACTGGAACAGAAAATATAAAGAATGGAAAAGGCAGGAAAAGGAAAATGGCAGAAAAATCAACTAGGTGGGATGGTCAGAAATGGAGAGAACAGGAAATGAAAACAATGAGATGGTCGCTAGACCTGGAGCCTCTGCAGTGAGATGTCATTATATTTTAATGTGTTTCTTTATTAGATTAGCAGTGACAAAAGCTCCATCAATTGTGCTTCACTGAATTTGTGACTAAAAATGACTCAGATTTGTTCAGGAAGAACTAAACCAGCTGATGGAACGCTGCAGTCCACCTGCACGTATCTCACAAACATTAAAATAAAAGTCAGAAAACTGCTACCATAGCATTTATGAGTGGACCTATACTAACCAAACATACTGTATGTGATGAATGTTTCTTCCTAATTGTTCACCGAGTGCAAAAAGCCTTCACCAATGATGTCTGAGTGCGGGGAAGGAAAGGAGAAACATATTTCAATGCTTTCCACCACACTGGAAACGGCTCTCTTTAGGAAATATGGTACTCAATGCACTGTAAGTAGCTGTAGCTATAAAACTAAGTCTCCTAACACAATGAAAACATTTCAGTCTAAATATTCCACAATGTTATAGTGAAGAGCTTGTTTTCAAAAAACCTATGTAGCAATAATGTGTCAATAATTCATGCAAACAAATGTGTAACTGCAGTCCAAACTCCAGAGCTGATGAATAAAAACACCAAAAGGTGAAAGTGCAGTGCTCCTAAGAGCATAAGGATCACAACTTTTCAATAAACAGTGATGTGATCAAGGCACATGTTAATCAATATGAATGATGAAGACTTATTTATTAACTCTGAAGAGCACTCAATACCTCGACTACCAAGCGAAGAGTTTTGTATTTAGTCAAATTAGAAATGCATGTCGTCTGAAGCTCTGAGTGAAAGATTCGGCCTTCGCTAGAAAGCAACAATCTCAGGCTCCTCAGCTCCAGGTGAAAGCTTGAGCTTCACTGTCTGCACCTCAGGAGCTGTGGGGTCAGAGGTGAAACGATGTAGTAAAAGCTGAAGGAGAGAGTCACATGAAAACGGCTAAAGTAGACCAAATAACTGAAAACATGGGAACACTGTCAAACACATCATTGCATTTTGAAAATAAAAATTAAATTAAAATTAATTTCCCACTTAGATCAGGGACTCAGACTGAAGCAGTTAACACAATAAACACCCTTTGAGTTTAGGATTAAAGGAAAAGTCCAACATTTATTTGCTTTTTTTGCTGCCAGATATATGAAAAAATCTGTAACACTTGTTCACTAAATATGAAGCTTGATGAACTCAAACCCAGCAGGGCTCCTAGATTTGGGAAGCAGTCAGCTGGTCTAACCCCGAGTCAGAACCAAATAGGGTGGAGATGCACAAACAGACGGAGCCAATCCTGTGTGACCATATCACTCTCCCTCTCATTTTTACAGTATGTTTCCAGCACCATGTGTTTTTTTCCCTTGTTTAGGCGCTATAGGTAAGTCTGCTATTGTAGCTGAAGGCCTGTGACACACCAAGCCGATGGCTGGCCTTGGGCCACCCTCAGACCGTTGGTAAGCATCTGTCGCCCTCATTTGCATGGTTTGTCCCACAACAGTGGCACTAGGTCAGACCTTGTTGGTGGCTTTTCAGGCAATTTGGCATGTTGAATCCACAGTGGACCTTGTCGGCGAAGGAGAACGCTCTGACTGGCTGTTCAGCCTAGCGAGGCGGTTCGGGAAAACCCCTTCAGCCTGTTGCTGTGGTAACCATAATTTCACCCATTTAGTGAATTTTTAAAAAAAGATGTAAACTCCAAACTCATCAAACTGTGTAATGGAAAAAATTAAAATCGTATGTAATTAAAAGTACATTTAGCTGCACTCTAATGGTCCCAACAGGAAGAGAGCACCTCATTTCACTGACTCCTGCTACAGGGTATTGAGATGTTCTCAAAAACACTGTCAAATAGAAGATGTACCAGGCGACTAACAAACCTTTAAACAGCCATCGCCACAAGGGATTTTTTTTTAATTACTTACTTTTTTCCTAATTTTAATCACATTAAAGACAGTGGTAAAACAAATAGCTCACAGATTATCTTTCATCCTATAGATGACAAAAACATTTTATGCAGTTTTAGTGTTTATATTTAGTGTGCATATGACAAAACAGCTGGAAAAAGTCCACACAGCCTGAAGCATATGAAAACAACATTTTTTATTTCAGCAGCTAAGCTATTTTTGAAGAGAAGCAACAAGCTCGGTCACTCACTGTTCTTGCAGGATAAAATCCATGCTCTCTGGAGAAATCTGTCCGGTCACAGGATGGCGAAATGTTGTGGTTCTCTGGTTATGGCTGAGGGAACAGAGGGAGGAGAGAGAGGACACAAAGTTAGCCATCTCTGTATTCCAGCATACAACAGCCCATCATTCCAGAATAGCAGTTCAGAGGCACTGCCCAGTCTCTCCACTCTGATGGGCCTTTGTCCCCGACTTTCCCAGCCTTGTGTAGAACATGAGGGATATGCTTGCAGGACCACCGCCTATTTAACCCTCCCAACCCATCCTCAACAGTGTGTGTGGATTAAAGTGATGGGCTCGGCACAAAATTTTGGACAACACAAAGAACTCAGTTTGTCACATGAAGCTGGCTACACCTACAAATTCATCAGCCACAGACACTCTCCCATCAGCTCATACTGATGCTTGATACGGGATGATGACTTTTTCTCCATTAGATTTGATGCACGATATGGTGTGTACATTGAATTTTGATATATTGGCCTGTGCCTGGATACAGTGTTTGCTCTTGTCAGGTGAGCTACTTCTACCACTACTCCCAGGACTATACTGCTAATAACAATAATATTGACATACAGTAAATGTTAGAAAATGGTGGACATTTATTAGCTACTAAAACATTTGGCCATGAGTGGAATTCAATTTTAAACTTTATCTATCTTTAAGAATATGCATTTTCACAAGATAAATGAAGCCCACATTTAGTACAGATGCTTGAAAAGGAGCTGCAGCTCAACGATTCTGCAATGGATTCAAAATCCAATCAGTCATTCGCTGCATGACTGTAATGTTAATATGATAATCTTCATGGAAAAGACAGAAAACAAGGTTTACACTAACAACATGAAACCTCTCTCGGTATTCACAGAAATGATTTAATGACTCACTGACTGAACTGGTTGTCTTAATATTTGTTTCTGCTGTGATTTGGACGAGGGTGGCCTTTTCTCCTACTCCTGGCTGTGCAGTGTCAACATCCTCTATGGCTGCAGGCTGTGTTAGGTTGTAAGGCTCTTAAAAAAATAAAATAAAAAAAATAAACACAGACAAGGACATCCAGTACATACTGTCAGTAATTTATAGGCTTCATAAACCCAGACAAATCATTTAGAGAGGGCACATTAACACATGATTGTTTGACAGTTGGCCATAAAAATCCCTACAGAGTGAAATACCACAGAAGGGTGGGGATGATTCAGAGCATGAAGAACCTTTTCATCCAATAAACAAGGGAGGGGGGCCACACAGTGCTGTAGATGTGCTAGTCAAGGTGCCAGAGGTTTGTGTCTTGCAGGACAAAAACACCCAGTGATCTTGATAGTAGCATACGCTCACTGGTTCAACATAACAAGGAGCCCTGCAACCAAGAGGCTCTAAGTAATTATAATTGTCTGAACAGGCTGGAATTACAATCGATCACTTCTAGCATGAAAAAGAAAGCCGATTGTCCCGACAGGCCTCTGAGCCATGAGTTATGACTGAGACACTCTCCTCACAGAGCAGAGACAAATTCAACCGCAGATGCTAAATGGCAGCGGTCGTGTGTCAGCGCTGTTTTACAGCTAAACAAACACCAGGTGGATGTAGGCGATGTCATACATGTTGCATTATGGTGACAGAGCCACAGGAAGTGGTTACAACCTGTTTACGACTGTAAAAGGCAGAGTTAAAAACACACAGGTAAAACACACCTTACAAACCAAACCTTTTTAACCCAACCCCGGGCACCTGCGCGACATAAAATACACAAATACTTAATATCTCACAAACACATATACCATAATCCTGTTAAAAAAATTCACACATTTTCTACTATTACGGTTATTGTATCTTTTTCTTGTCTAAAAAAAAAAAGAAGTTATTTTTAAAACCTAAAAAACAAAAAGAAATCATGTAAAAAAAAATAGAAAAATTAAATAGAAATCTGTGTCTACAAAATTTAGGTTTGCTGGTACATTTTTAAAAAGGATGAATATGCATGGAAGAGGTTTTTGGTATATCATGTAAATGCATTATATTTTTTTAAATATTTACATGTACATAAATGGGGACACATTAGTAAACAATTATTGTAACAAGGTAATTACATCTTTTACATCATTAAATGAATGGATTATGTTAATGTGACTCCATGCCACTAAAAGCAGTGCTCTTCAGTGAGGCACTTCTTGTACTCTGCTCCAGAGGACTTGCATCTACCAAGTGTGAATGTGTGAAGCTACGCTTAAACACCTCTGTATTCAAATGAAACATAAAAATAAAATAATGTGAAGCAAATCAACACATGATGCAGTGTTTAAAAAAAAGTTAATTTTGTTGCGATGACAGCCATACAACATCACTCATTCACACACCAGTAAGAACTGATAGTTGCACTGAGAATTCATAGTGATCTCATGAAATTAAAAGAAGTATATTAAAACTACCGATCCCTTTGCCTCTCTTTCTGTTAAACGGTATTCATGATTGAGGACACGGTCACCTCAAAACCTCTCTCCAACCCAGCAATATATTCAGATTTCCATCATGCGCATCCACACAAAGGCTCATTTATCACAATGCTGATATGTGAAGCTGTTCCCCTGGGAAACTGATAAATCCGTGTCTGATTGCTCACAGACTATAAACAGGAACAGTGTGTCTGTGTCCTGGGAGGTTATTTATCAGCGGCTATTTCATTCTGCTGCCAGGTTCAAAATAGTACAAGATATAATAGACACGATAGTGTCATTTCAGAGGAGCAGAGATGACCTGAACCGTAAAAGAAAAACACTGAAAGTAGTGCTAAAAGCTTCATATAGTACCCTTTTAACAATCACCTCTAACACTGGTAATAAAAGACCTGCTCACAATCTACCCAACATCTCTAGGTCCATTTGCCATTTGGTGATATTTTTAATACATATCTTTCTTATTCACAGAGAAATGTGTCTAGTACAGCTTGAGTAGAGTTGGATAACATAGGGATATATTTGCTTAGGATTTGCGGCTCGTGTTTTTGCACTAAACGGTGAAACTGCGCGTTCATATTATCGACGGCAAAAACGATGGACAAGCTAAGAGCTGCCAGAAGGGAAGCCACCATGGATCAATCGCCCCCTGGTGGCTGGACATAAATCCCGCCTCCTCCACATTAGTGGAGCCAAGCTAAAAATACAAATCCGATAAATTTTTCCCAGAGGCAATTTCCGTGGTTGTTAGTAGATATTATCACGCAAATGTGAAAGTTCTAAAAGAAGATATATGACTAGTGCTTTGATGCCAGGTTATTCTTGCCCAAAAAGCCAAACAAGCTCTCCTGACAAAACGGCTCATTAATCTAGAAAAAGGCAAAGATCCAAAGACAACTCTCCCTTTCATTTCAGTTTATAGCTTTATTGTGTGATTTGGTGGCCTTCTGTTGATCCATTCATCAGAACAGCTCCCCTGCAGTAAGGCAGGTTTTGTTTCTCACTCATAGACAATCATATAGTCAGGGAATTAAATTCCCTAATTTAATTCTTCCTCTGAAAAGACCATCTTGACCAGTAATTATGCTCTGAGCCGATGCGTTTTACCTTTTTGCCCATATGCATCATCTATTTATGAAGGGCGGATGGTAAGCCTTCAGTTACATAAACGTGGGGTTATCCAGCTCCCAACCAGTTCTCATGCAAACATACATGCTCATAAATTCCACACATGATCTCTCACACTGACATACAGCGCGCACACTGCACCTGCTGCGTCATATGACTCGGGTGTTATCCTGTTTCTCCAGGAACTCCGGCTACTTTACTCCTGTTTGCCCCTCTAGTTATAGTAGGACCAAGCAGGGCTGAAATGATCACTCAATTAGTCAAAGAGCTGAAAGTGATTCAACAATAAATTTGATAAGTGATTAAAAGTTTAAGTCAAGGAAACGTGCTAGTTCAGGTTTTTCACATACGACCGCAGCAGTTTATAGATGATGCTTTTGGGTCAGGGGAATTGTGGCGGCTATTACCTGACATTTTATAGGCTATAAAATGCCCAGTTAATAAGAAAAACTAATCAATCATAATAAATAGCTAATAATCACAAGTCTAAAACCAAACTACAGCCTGTGTGAACCTGTGCCAGTACCTGTAACATCAGACATCTTACAGTCACCGAGACTGTTGCTAATGCACAGTATCATGATTGACTTGCTTCGTTAATTTTTTAACATTCAGTCATTGATCTCTCTGATCACCTGCTGATAATCTGATTACTGAAATGAACAATGATTTTTGTGTGGGGAAAGAACAAAAACTTGACATTTATCAAGTAGTTTTTAGTAGTTGTGCACCTACACTACAAGTAAGGATTTCATTGTACAGCGAAACACGTTTCCTAACTGTGCATATGACAAATAAACAATTTGACCTTTGACCTACACAGATAGTGAGGGAAAAGAAAGATTTGTTTCCAAAAACAAAAACATTCCTTTGTCTGCCTGGTTTACTGCCTGTATATACTGTTTATTTTGTTATACTACACAGCCTTATGTTAGTTTATTGTTTACTTGGCCCCTGCTGTTGCCTTGCATGGGGATATGTACATGCACATTGAGAGCTGCTGTACCAGAGTCAAATTCCTCGTGTCCAACACACCTGGCCATTAAAGCTGATTCTGAAAAGTACATACTGTACAAAATGTTCACAGACTAAAAAGGATCAGGACACAAAAAAACCTCATACTACCTGCTGTATAAAGTACCACAGATACACAGAAGATGGTTTGATACTCGAGCTGTAATGAAACTGAACATCTTTGAGTTTTGGACTGTTGAGCTATTATTAACAAAAAATAATCGTCACATGACCCAGTGGTGAAAGAAATGGTAACTTGCAACCCAACGTGATGCCACTGCTCATTCTTTAGAATGAGATATAGGGTACAAACCTGAAACTGAGTGGGAAAGCAGTTTAAGTTGATTGGTTTATGCTATAAAACAATCCACCTGATTGCATTATGTATGGCCCAGTATAAGAGGCTGACTGAGGCGATTCTAACGCCTCTGCTAAGACTAAAGTTAATCTGGTAATGATTTAC